CCATCGCTCCGTACCCGCGTCAGCTTGCAAAATCCCCCTCTATATTAAAAGAAAAGAAAGAAGGAAAGGAGAAAAAAAAAAAAAAAAAGGAGAAATTAAAAATAAAAGCCAGTATCACGTAACACAATTGTCTGTGCTTTGACACAAAACCACAAACCCAGAAAGTGTACGTTCACACTTGCTCTCCACAGAGGAAAAAAGTTTGAAAAACATGAGAAAATTACATCATATTCAAGTTTTTAACACTTCTCACAGAGCTAAGAAAAGACCTCAATTTTTCTACTCTCTTGCCTCTAGCCAGAATAACCACAGTTATTTTGTAGAAGAATCCAAAAGGAAAATCATACAACCTCCTAACGCCAGATCTTTAAGGTACAGCAAAGGCTGTGCAATGGCAATTCATATTACTCCTATAATTTCTAAGATAAACAGGATTTACAACAGAAAATGAGGATGATGAGCATCATTACAAGACCAGGCACACACAAAATACAACATGTGCTAGTGAGTTTTAATTAGAAGTTAACTAGTCAAAGGACAACTGTGTATATATACCTCTTTTGATTTCGTTTTCTTCTCCTTTGGAGGAACTGAGCTCTTGACTGAACTCACTGCTTGTGCCTGCACGATTTTTCCTTCCTCGCTTGGTTTCTGTGAGAAATACAAAATTACAGGCAAGTTCGAAAAAATAAAAAGAAGGGGAAAAGTGTCAAGATAATTTTGAAGTGAAGTATTGAGATAGCAATGGCAGTATTTCATTGCAATAAAGGCATGCAATGGGAGGGAAAATATCAATACCTCTGTTGGGGTTGCCTTCTTTTCGTCAGCGCAGGTGAAGTCGGACGACAGGGCCTCTGCAAGCTCATCCTCCGTCATGGGCTTCTGAGCAAGACATTGCAAACGAGGTTACGATCGTTAGAGCTCAAATATCACTGCTGTCAAACTCGGGTTTGAAATCTGAGCGTGCTCTACGCTTACTCACGCAATGACCTCAGAACCACATGCTGCTGTTAGAAAAAACAGTATTTCTCCTCGCTGGTTGATTCATTTTTCAGATAAGCTTATGTTTTCATATGTTAAACAGTAAAATTAAGCTGGCTTAGAGAATTCTCTTGCTAAGTATAGAAATTCAAGTAGTCTTTGCTAAAAGCATTGCAAAGAGACTCCTGCACACACAGCTGCTCTTTCCTCCCTTTGGTATTACTACCCACAGTGTCTCTACGAGCATTTATTTGACTCGTTTCAGCTTCAGTCCGTGTCCTGAAAATTCCTACTTCGTTATTAAAAACATCTATGCCAAGTTGTATTTATTTTTATCAGTACCTATGTTATCTGGCACCCCACAGCCCTCTCCCACTTCCTGGGATTTTTGGAAGATGGGCAACACTTAAATTTTCCTTGAGCCTAGTGATAATTGGGTCATTTTCACCTTTCAATATAAAAAAAATAAAAGAAAAAAAAGTCTTACTTCATCTCGTTCATCTACTTTTGGTGGGACTCCATCTTTGCCACCCCCTTTGCTCTAAAATGAGAATAAATTTTGTAGTAAATAGGAAGCAAAAACCATACAATATGCAAGAAAACACACAGGAAGAGCATCTTTTTTTTAAACTCACTAACCTTCAACAACTTGACGTACTCTGGAGGGAGACTACCTTCCCGTTTACCCATTTCTTCCAAGTACCTTGAAGATATATCTTCCTGTGAAAAGAATGCATGCATTAATGTTTCTGTACTATTGTTGATTGAAATAAATCTCTAATGTAGAGCTATCTACAGTGACATTTGTGGACAGAAAATGTGAGGGCTGGCTCCCATTCTAACTCAAAAAGTACGCATTCTTCCCCAAATTCTCAATGTTTTACTCTTTCTTGAGTAGAAATGAAGTCTCCCAGGTTGTTTACGTTCTCTTACAGCTCCATCACTGCCTTTTGTAAATCCAGTGAAACCACGCTTGGATATCAGTTCAAAAAGCAACAAACCTTTGTTGACAATTCACTGTTTTCTCTACTGCAACACATACAGAACTGTATCATCTCTGTATCACTGAAAACATCCCTAAAACGCAGCTGCGCAAACTGTATTTAACCTCTCAGCAGATCCAAGTGACACAATTACAGGATCAATATAGTAATGAAAAACTACAGACATACTTTAAAGATTAACCTTCTAAAAAGTGAAAATAAAAAGTGTAAAATACCGTAACTTCTGGACCAGTGTAAACAGGACTAGGAGGCACATCTTCCTCAGGCCCCCCTAGGGTGTCTATTAGGCTGTCCAGTGCCGACTCATCCATAGCAGCCTAAAAATTAAGCAGACAACTACAGAAGTTATCATGCTGTATAAAGGGAAAAAACCAAAAACCCAACCTCTGAATCATGTGGTGAATCTGCACAAAACTCCTGGAAACTAACCCAAAACCTTCCTTTCAGTAGGTCCTGCATTTGCCAAATTTTGAGCAGTGAGAACTGCTCTTACACTTGTTCCCCAAAATAAGTAACAAGATCATTTGTATTTATATACCAGCTGGTAATAATACATACACATACGAACATAACTGAAGATGAAGAGTAATTAATGTTATGCTAGCTTTGGTAAAAGGGATGCTAAGTAAGTCCTACTTGACAAAACACAAATGACACACCACTATAGGCCATTTGTGGCCTACTCTTTCAGAGAGTCCTTCACCACCACACATAACTCCTCAACAGCAGTACTTCAGCAGTTACCCATTAATTTTTTCTGAAACTGAATTGTGAGAGAAACACTCTCTGAGACATTTTTGCAAGGGGAGAATTTGTGTGGGACTGCGTTTACCAACCTCAGCACTCGAGTTATCAGTGACAGTAACCACACTTGCACCAGCTGGACCAGACGCTATGGACATCTTCTCGGACTTTGGCTGGAGAAATAAGGGAAAAATTAAGAGCTGGCTTTATTATATGGCCCTATGTTAGAAATTCTAGAGTCAGAACAAAGTAAAACAGAGATGTTCCACTCAGGCACACACATGTATTGCCCCTCTTCACCTACGCTTTGAATAAAAAAGCAAAGCTGGTTCTCCCCATTGGCTGAGTGCTCTGGGAGCCCAGCAGCTGCAGCTGGCATGGCCTGCTTAAGCCTGGAACACCCAACTCCAAGGCTGTCCATATTCTTTTGGACTCGGGAAATGGCTAAGACACCTGCAGAGCATCCAGAGACTTGGGCAGAGTGAGATGCCACCTACTCACAACGCTGCACAGACACAGACACTCTCTGCTTCCAGCGTGACTTTGCTGGGAGAAAGCAAGCATGCCATTTTACGTACTTTACCCCTTTCTTTTACTTTGCCAGTAAAATAAATCTGCAGAGCACAAAGACTATAAGGCCCCTTCCAAGCCTTTAATTTGCACCCCATATTCTCAATAGACCACTAGCACCAGCAGCAAACGCTGCTCAAGCTGGCAGGGTGGAAACTGCTTCGGGGAGTCTGGCACAGGAGCAACACCAACACAAAAATGCAGACAAAATGCAGACTTCTGCACTGCTGACACTCCCATTTACTGCAAGAAACAAGTGGGTTGTGGTAGAGCTGCAGGAGATCTTCATGTCACTCTGGCCCTGTCACCCAGATACGTGCAGAGCAGGAGAGCAAAAAGATCCAGATTTTGACTCTACTACACACATTTGCTCCAGCTTTTTCTCCACTTGTCCCTCTGAAATGACCCTTCCTCAGCTTTTTCCTCAACCTTTCTCTTCCTAGGTCTTTTTGGAGTCTTGCCATCAGGGCATACGTGCTGCTCTACTAAGAATGGATCACCTGCTGACCTGCTGCTTTTGGAGCCAACACGGGACAAAGTCCACATGTGAAGGAGCTCCACAATGGCACTGCTTACAGAATCACAGAATGGTTCAGGTTGGAAGGGACCTTAAATATCATCAAATTCCAACCCCCCTGCCATACGAACAAGACATTTGCTTGACTGCACAGATGATCCCTTCTGTTCATCTTCAGCAGTGAAGGGACAAGGGAAGAGACTGACAAAGAACTAATTACATCCAACAAGGATGTAAGTCGCTACAAGGAACTTGCAAAAAGCTTGCATGACTGACAGACAAACACATAACAGGCCTACAACTGTGATAATCTTCATGCCTCTTGCTTAGGTAACAGCAAGAGTGTGGGGACAGTGAAAACAGATGTATGAAGAGGACACCTAAAGGTGGAGGCACATCGGGGTCACCAAAGGAGCAGCACAAACCACCCACACCATCTGGCTGGGCCACCCTATCTGCAGCTGGTGCTTATGCATGAACGCTGTCATGGGTTAGCTGGAAGTGGTATACTCAAGATGCTGCTTAAGTTAATTTGTGGGTAAAATGTCCCTTTCTAAGTCCCAGCTTTTAAACCAGGACAATACAGCTTTTGAGCTTTTCTACATTGTGATTTTTGGGGGCCCAGTCTTGCTTTACAATATTCAGTGTAAGAATCACAGAATCACAGGATGGTTTGGGTGGGAAGGGACCTTGAAGACCACCCAGTGCCACCCCCTGCCCTGGGCAGGGACACCTCCCACCACACCAGGCTGCTCCAAGCCCCCTCCAACCTGCCCTTGAACCCCTCCAGGGATGGGGCAGCCACAGCTTCTCGGGGCAACCTGGGCCAGGCTCTCACCACCCTCACACCAAACAAGTTCTTCCCCACAGCTCAGCTCCATCTCCCCTCTTGCAGGGTCAAACCCTTCCCCCTCCTCCTAGGGCTCCCCTCCCTCATCCAGAGTCCCTCCCCAGCTTCCCTGGAGCCCCTTGAGGGACTGGAGAGCTGCTATACCACCTTGATTTGAATTTCTCACCCCTACAATAACATAAATAATACAAATTGCATTGCTTCTTCTACTATACCTTTGCTGTCTCCGTGGAGGCTGCTGGTGGAGGCTGGCCAGCCTGAGTTGTAGCTTCTTTTCCTGCATTATTTGGTTTAGAAGTCATTGTCACTGAAGGTGAGGTTTGGTTTTTCGCCTGCGTAGAGATAAACTATTATTATTCAATAAGGAAATACATGTGGGCTGGTTTTGTTTCATTTGTATTTTTTTAATTTTTTTTTTAAAGGAAAGAGAGAAATACCACAAGAAGCTGTTACCAAAGCATATCCTTGAAATGTTATTAGTAACTAGTGTTGAAAGTGATACAATTTATGTGTATTCTCACTAATAAGTGAGGATTCTGTCCTTGAATTTACCAAGCCTGAGTTAATGAAAATAACTCATAATCAAGGAAGAAGAGTATTGTATCATTGCTGAGGAGGCACAAAGAGTGCAAAGTTTGAGGATGGTGCTAATCTACAGGTTTTCAGAAGTTCAGCCAACTTGGCAGAAAGTGAAAACTCTTAGTGCCGTGAGCTGAACTACCTTCATTATAAGGGTAAAAATCACACCCATTGGTCAAGGAGACCCTTGCCCAGGTGAAGACCTTCCCTTGAGCATGCATGGGAGCTACAACTTGATGGTGTAATAGTATCTAAATAATAACCAATCAAATACTAGTACTAGGAGGCACTAATATTATGATGATGTAAAATGTGCATAAAAATCATGTGGAGAGTTCTGATGGGGGTGTGTGATTTGTGGAGACCATGGAGCACCCGGCCTTGTGTGCAATTCCAAAATAAATAATCCCCGTCTCGTCCTGGTGTGCGAGATCTGAGATTGCTCACAGGGGAATGGATCTGACTTTTTGGACAACAAAGCCCCAGACAGGGGGGAAAGGGAGGAGAGAAAAGAGAGGGAGGGAGAGAAATCACACAGCTTACATCACTGGGCTCCTTCTGCCTCTCTTCAGACAGCTGTTTATTTTGAGAGTCTGCTGGCTGTCATAAAATAAAAAATGGAGATCATTCAGCCTTACGCTAATTACATGCAATGGAACCATACTGGTACAGAACATGGTCTACACCAGTTCAAATAAGCACAAGATGGATTTAAAGGTGGTACCAGAACACTTCTTGAGCTGCTGTGAAGCAGTAAAGCACCCCGTTTTTCCCCAAATGCTGCATTCCCACACCTGCCAGCTCCTCGCTCGTTTGCACGCAGGTGTGTCACTATTCACAGGGCAGTGCCACTGGCACAGACGCAGCAAAGACCTTTTCCAAAGTTAGGCAAAGACCAAAGCACAACGACTACCCAAAGGTGAAATATATGTATTTACCTTGGCTGACTCTGCAGGTTTTCCAGGTTCTGCTTTGGTTGTTGGTGTGGGCTGAAACAGAAGCAACAGACATTCAGACAGAGATTAATCTGCTGGGTTATTTTTAAGTGGTCAGCTCATTTAAAAAAGAAAATCAGACAGATTCACACTTGTGAGCACACATGTGATTTAACTAATATACAGTGTTTTGATCTTGCAGTTTACAACATCTGCAACGTCCTGGCACAGATCTTAATTCCAGCAATTGAAGAGCACTCAAATGTTTGCAAACACACACACACTCCTCATATGAAGGACTCAAAAGAGGGGGAAGGAAGAAATTAAACAAATACAATGAACAATTCAATTTACATCTAAGAATTTTCTGCAGCCATGTCACAAAAATGATTTCTGTAATTCACCTCAAGTCAAAGTGCAGTAAGCAATAAATTACTACTAGTAGAAACATGTAAGAACACACACGGAAAAATTAAGGAATATTTTATATCTGGTAAGAAGAAAGAAAAATGAAAAGGCCAGCCTCCTCACCATATTTCCACTCACTTTAGCTGCGAAACATTAATTACCATTTAGATATATCAGGCTTCCGTTTGCTAGCCAACCACATAGAGAAATTTGCTACCTTTTTTTAACTATTTGTTATGCAATTATTCCACCCACACACGCAACCACAGACACTTGGCTGGGAAATCCTGAGCATGCATAAAAATACAGATGCCCGGATGTAAGCTTGGCAAAGGCCATGAAGCTGCAGAGGACAGTAAAGAACACAACACCGCAAGCAAGTCTGTCACAGAAGGTAAAATTATACACAGAGGATGACAAAAATTTCACGAACTCTAAAGTGGGGACAAAAATTTTAAAACATTAAACAAATAAAAATCAAAACAATCACTTAGTCTCTCAGATTCCCCTCTTTGTATTTTCTCTTGACATCTAATCTGATTAAATCACAGTACTTCTCCGGTTCAGTCATACTTTACATGCTCCCACTTGTACCTGCCCATTACATGACTACCACATGGTGAACTCAAAGACACACACATCCATTTGTGTACCTCTACACTAAATAATCCTATACTGAAAAGGTAATCCTTTTCACAGTTTCAAAGCTAAAAAAAATGGCTGGACGTATTTATGTAACAGCTGAAGCAGAGTGTCAGCCAGACTCGAGATGTCCTTTGGCTGCAAAGAAAACTAGCCCAAGGGCAGGCATGAGGTTCAAGGAGCACAAAATTTGACTTTTCCTGCTGCAGGATTGCTGCCTGCTCAGGACGTTAAGTGCCCTGCTGTTAAGAATACAAATCCAGGTTTCTCTTATGTGCTTTTCAGAAGAAAAGTAAACACACCACCTTTTTTTGCAGGACCACAAAATGTATTTACTTGCATTCCTGTCAACACCCAGCAATATAAATTCAAATTCTCAGCCCGCCAAACCAGTTATTACCAACTGCTTGCCTTTTTTATACATTGTAAAGATTGTTTTACTAAGCGCTTAATGCCATTTTTGTGTGTATGCATCATTTATTACCCTCGTGTATCTCTGGATTGCTCACAGTGTAAGTTTTTCTATGACAATGCTGAGGAATGTATGGACTTATGGGGCAACGCTGTCATTCAAGGCTTAAACACATGTGAGGATGATAAGGCTACATTAAAACACGTGATCATGAGCACACATGTGCTCTCACACGTGCCCAGACACGTCTATTTAGACACACCTTCAGCAATAACAAAGTTCAAATACAACTTTAAAAAAAAATTATTACCAGGCAAGTCAAACCAGCCATTTCAGTGTGAGACCATACTTCCAAAGGCAAGTACTCGTCCATCTTTAAAGAGAGTTGGCTGTGAGCAGTCACAGCCTGGAGCCAGGGCAAATTCAAAGCCAGCACTGAGCTTCTGCAGGGAAAGAGATGTCCCACCTCCCCTTCTGCTGCCTGATCCCACCTGACCGTGCCACCACCCCAGAGCTGTATCTGAAACACTCAGGAATCACAGAGTCATGGAATTGTCCAGATTGGAAGGGACCTTTCAGGTCATCAAGTCCAACCATCAACCCAACACTGACAAACCCCCCACTGACCCATGTTCCTCAGCACCACGTCTGCCTGGATTTTAAATCCCTCCAGGGATGGTGACTCCACCACTGCCCTGGGCAGCCTCTGCCAAGGCTTCACAACCCTTTCTGGGAAGAAATTGTTCCCAATCTCCAGCCTAAACCTCCCCTGGCACAACTTGAGGCCGTTTCCTCTTGTCCCATGGCCTGTTCCTTGGGAGAAGAGACCGAATCCCCCAGGCTACACCCTCCTTTCAGGGAGTTGGAGAGAGCGAGGAGGTCTCCCCTCAGCCTCCTTTTCCCCAGGCTGAACACCCCCAGCTCCCTCAGCCTCTCCTCATAATACACTGAATAACAACCTAGAAAAGGAGTACTTTTTAACCCATTCCCCAGTTGCACAAATGTGTGCAAGAGGAAGAAAGTGTGACAGGACGTGTTTTTGCGGTGGCAGTGGCCACACCAGCCACAGGGCTTCTACTTCTCCACCGGCTTCTCCAACTTCCCACCCAGCCCTGGGGCTTCTTGACCAAACGAGAAGTGCCACATTCCTTCTCCTCTGCTGCAGTACTCACACCTCTCCCAGACCCATGGTTAATGGGAGACCAAGGACTCAGGTACACAGACCTGAAAGCTAAAGATGGGTTCCGAGCACCTCCAAGAGCAGGGAGACTCCGAGGAAGAACAAATGAGATGTGGTTATAGCAGGCAATTAGGAAAGAGTTGTTAATTTGCGAGAAATTTATGACTAGAAATGAAAGTGACTCAGCAACCTTATTTCTTTTCAAAGGAGTCTGCTATTGAAACGCGGATGACTCTGCTGCATCCAGTGGGAAGAACACAACAGACACTGAAATAAAGCATTAATTGTCTTGAGCACTGTCCTGGTTTCAGCTGGGACAGAGTTAATTTTCCTCTCGGCAGCTGGTACAGCGCTGCCTCTGGGGTGTAGGGTGAGGATACTGGTCACAGATGGATGTTTTGGGTTCCCAAGGACTTTGCAGCTTCTCATGCCCTGCCAGCGCAGGGTCTGGGGGGCAGAAGGAGCTGAGAAGGGACACAGCCAGGACACCTTTCCAAAACTGGCCAAAGGCGTGTTCTGGAAGGGAGGGGGCACAGCCAGGACACCTATCCAAAACTGGCCAAAGGCGTGTTCTGGAACATATGATGTCATGTTCGGCGTCCAAATTTGGAGGGATTTGACCCGGCGGCGGCTGCTGCTGCTCAGGAACAGGGTGGGCATTGGCCAGGTGGTGGTAAGCAGTTGTGTTTCATTTGCATCACTCCTTTTCTGTGGGATTTATTTCTCTCTCTCGTTGTTGTTTTCATTACATCAACATCATCATCATTATCATCATCATCATTATATTTTGATTCCATTATTAAACTGGTCTTATCGCAACACATGAGTTTTCTCTTCCAGTTATTATTCTCTCAAGAGAGAATAATATACTCAAGAGTATTATATACTCTCTTCTCAAGAGTTTTCACTCTTCCAGTTATTACTGTTGTTGTTATTATATTTATATTTATATTTATATTTATATTTATATTTATATTTATATTTATGTTATTACAATATTTTAATTCGATTATTAAGCTGTTCCCATGTCAATCCACAGCTTTTCTTGCTCTCACTCCCCAGTCCCCCACGGAGAGGGTCAGTGAGCCATGGGGTGCTGGGCTGCTGGATGGGGCTGAACCAGCAGTCTGTGGAATTTTGGGGGGCTGGCTGGAACGGGGGGCTGTTCACCAGCCTCACAGGTGGGGTGCTGGGCTGCTGGAATTTTGGGGGGCTGGCTGGAACGGGGGGCTGTTCACCAGCCTCACAGCACGGACACATCCCTCTCAGACTCTCCTTCCGCCTCACCTTGCAACACCAGTTTCAAAGATCTGATCAGAAATTTACCACGTTCTTCTAGAGTTATTTCAAGTTTCAAGCTGTGGGAGACCATAAGTATTTTTAAGTAGATTGCTGGCTGGGTGTGACCATACAGAGAACAGCATCAGAAACGAACATGGCACTAATGAATTTAACAGGAAGGTGAAAACAGAGACTTGCAGACACCTTCATTCACAAGTGGTGATGATGACGGTGCACAAATGGAGGTGGTTCAATTATCCTCCAGCTTGCTGGACTGGACCAGAGGACCTCCAGAGCCTCAGGACTAAGTGTCCTCTCCTGACCTCACCACTCTTAAGTGTTCCTTTATTTGTATTTACACAAGGTTCAGGCAGACCCAGGTTTTACCACTGCACAAGTCCCTGCTGGTCCAGTTTGGTTTTCAGCATTTTTGTCGGGTTTCAATGTTAACGATTATGGAAAACGAAGGCGGTAGAGAATCGTTAATCATTTGTTTAAATAACACACGTATATTCTCTTAGGCAACAGAGGCGTAGGTGAGGATGATGACTCTCCACTGGCAAGTGAAGAACATGAGCGATGACACAGCTTCCACGCTGAGGCGGTGCAAGTCATGAGGCAAGACAGAACAAGCACCAAGGACAAAGGCAGGGGAGCTGCCAGACGGACAGAGACAGGAGACCAACCAGACAGCACAACCCTACGTATACTAAAAGCTGAAATTTGTCCTGAATTCTCTGAATACGCGAAAAATTATCCCAAGGTACATAACCCCGTAGCTACACTGGGGGGAGCCATGCACATGTTGCAAAACGTGACTGAGCTAAAATTCAGTACTGCTGTCATAAAGACCTCCGAGCACTTTGTATAGAGTTTTTTAGATACTTTTTGAAGAGCACACTAAGCTGCAGAGAAGAAATATGCAATAAAGTTACTCAGTACCAGTACTAAAAAAAGAAATTCCATTGCTTCATATCTTTGTGCTTAACTGCAAGCACCAGTTTCTCAAGAATTCATACCTTTGTCTCAGATGGCTTCATAATTTGTGTTTTTGGTGCATCCGCAGAGGGGGACTGCTTCTGAGGGGAAAATAAAAGAAAAAGGGAAATTGATTAATTTCACCTTTGTTACACATAGTACCACTAAGTAAGCATAAGCAACCTGAATTCATTAGATATCCAGCTAAAAACTAAGAATAAGTTATAACTGAAAATTAGAGTTATTGTTTCAGATCTTCTCTCTTGCCCACATTTCTACCATAGGTGTACAGAAGTCATAGAACTCATGGAATTCTATACAGCATTTCAATACTGTGATGCCCATAGATCTTCTCACAACATTTTTATTTTTACTCTAACATGTACTGAAGGCAAATTTCAAATCAGGTATCAAAACAAACTCAAACCCTGCTCTGATACTGAAGCGCATTTACTTAATTGTGCAGTATTCTTCCACATTTCTTCATTTTTTAACAAAAAATTGTACTATTCGGTTTTACTAGTTTTCCACACAAAATATTTAATACTAAATTAGAAAACTCAAATATGATGAGATAATATACCGACGCCATACCACCTCTCTACTCCTGCTCCGCGTTCCTCTGCCCTAAGGCTGTATTTGCCACCTTGATCACAGCAACAAACTTAAGAGTTTATATTTAAATGAACAGCACAAGATATCCCTTTTTTCTGGGTTTCTTCATGTTTTCCATGCCGCTTGCTGTACGGAAACACGCCTTGCCTCAATGAACTCAGAAGCTGTATCACTACTCCATACCTGGGGTGACTTCTTTCTTCCACCTGTAAAAATCTCTTATTTCCAGAGCTTTTCACAGCACAAGCATCTCTCCACAGGAGTTGTACAGGATTTAGAAGGTACGTGTGGTGCTGACAGCGCGCTCTCCCCGCCAGCGTACCCGGTACCTTGCACACCTTGTGAAAGCTTTGACTGCTCTAAATATATACCAGGGAGGATTTGTGATTGTCACACTGACGAAACGTAAGCAAACAGTATCTGCTTTTTCCACATACGTATATCCCTACAGACTGACTACACACTAGAAGGGAGCTTCTGTACGGGTGGAGACGTACGCAGGAATGTACAGAGCCTCCTACTTCAGGACAGGGAACAACAGGTTTTAAACAACCTTTTTATATATGGCTGGAGCAACCATCAGGGAACCCATAGATAACACCACATACTTCTTAATTGGCCCTTTCATTGTTTTTTTCCATTCCTTTTCTTTCTTTTCTGTGAAATTAATCTGAATTCCTTCTACATGACCAAGAAGTGTGTGTCTGTTCTACACCTTCACATTAGTCACCTCGGTCCCTGTCCATTTAATCAAAATACATTTATCTAAGCCCTTCTCCCTCCCGCCCCTCTGAGAACTCCCACTAAGCCTTTTTCTTACAATATACTGAAAAACTCTTTCCCAAGTTCCAGCACAGCAGCACTGCTACAACTTGCAGAGATTAGTGAAAAACACCCAAATAAACCAAACGATCCTTCTTTCTACCCTGGTGCCTCACCTCTCTTTTTGCCTGAATTCCCCGCTATTCAGGGCCTCCAATTTTCCACTCCCTCCCTGAAAAGACCCACTAGGAGAAGGAAGGGGGGTCCTTGTCCTTTCCAGCCCTTTACTGCCCAGGGTTGAGCCTTGCACGGAGCTGCCAGGGTCCAACCCCTGATCTGGTGGCCATCAGGCAGCCGGACACCACCAGCCTGGCTCCTGGTGGGCATCTTTTTACTGTGGGTCGTTGTGTTCTTCCTCTTCCTCTTCCGACCACGGGGCTGCAGGAGGGGCCAAGCAACACCGGACGCGTGTCAGGCGGTAAATATTAAAAGGCTGCTTAGCAACCGGCGTGATGAGGCAGCGGGGCCGGCACACCCTGCTGGCACCCGGGGTGGAGAAACAACCCCTCGCCAGGAGAACGGCCCGGACGGGCAGAGTCCGACCTGCCCCGGGGCTGGGGGTGGCAGAGAAGGTGCCCCCACGGAGAGAGGGGGGGTTTTGTTGTGTTGTCAGGGACATCCCCAAGGGCAGAGACAGCACGGGAGGGAAAAATGAGCACGGTGGGCACTGACTGCTCCTCCTGTGGCTGCACCCCGGGTCCTGCCCACACAGAGGGGGCTGAGATGGCCCCAGACCCGACCTGGCCCACAGGGAAGGTCCCCTGGGAGCACCTGAGGGTCCCATCTGGGGGTGGCTGCTGTACGGCTCTGCAAGCTGGGAGGAGAGGGAAAGCAACAGGACCACAGCAGGGAGGACACAGAACTGTAGCATCTTAGAATCATGGAATGGTTCAGGTTGGAAGGAACCTTAAAGCCCCCCAACCAAGTGCCACCCCCTGCCCTGGGCAGGGACACCTCCCACCACACCAGGCTGCTCCAAGCCCCCTCCAACCTGCCCTTGAACCCCTCCAGGGATGGGGCAGCCACAGCTTCTCGGGGCAACCTGGGCCAGGCTCTCACCACCCTCACACCAAACAAGTTCTTCCCCACAGCTCAGCTCCATCTCCCCTCTTTCAGGTTAACACGGAGATGGTCCCTGATCCAGAGGAAAGAACCTACTGGCGGCATGGGACCCCCCATGACAACCACAGACGGAGCTCAACAGAGCAGAGAAGGAGTTACAGGTTGACACTGATTAAGCACAGGTAATTATCAGTAGCTGATAATTACCCCACGCTGTTGCAAAGCTGACAGGTGAGAGCAGCACCACAGCCCACGCTCTCACCAGCCTGCCCGGCAGGGAGGACCGGCATGGACAGACAGACAGGCACAGGAACCCACCCATGGCCCTCAGGGGCTCTTGGCCACTGGTTAGAAGATGCCCTTCCAGGATGGGCTGATGAAGAGACTGAGGATCTGCTGCGGATGGACATTCTTGACATGGTTACGATTTAGCAGCAATTCAAATTACATTTATTTGAGGTAGATCAAGAGGCTGAATTTTAGTAGCACTTAATAATTAACTGATTTAAAGTCTTACAAATTGATTCAACAAAATAAATGAACTTAACAACAGGTTCGAAGGTGACAAGATTCACACTAACTTACGACAAGGTATCCCAAATGAATACATACACATGTGACCAAAAGCACAGATCTTGAAATAATGCTTATGCATCTGGGCAAAGACTGTAAGCGAGCACACACACCCCCACACCCCCGTGGTCTGCAGCAGCACTGCCCCAAGGAGCCAGCAGCTGCCCCTTTTAACAGACAAATGGAAGAACATCCACACCCATGAAGCTGATGTGTATATCACAAACATCTAGATGGAGAGGCAGATGGAGGAGAGCCTATAGTTAAAATTTCCCTTTTGCCAAATTTAGGGTAAATATTCACACCGCACTGGCATTCCTCAACAAGCGACGACTGAGGCTCAAGAGGGGGTGACCTGCCCTGTCCTCGAGATGTCTGTCTGAGCAGCGTCCCAACCCAGAGGAGATACTGGCCACAGCCCACTGCAGTCCAGGAGAGATCAGAGGGTCTTTCCTAGAACCACTGCTTACAGCATCCAAGATCACTGACTTTCTCCAGGTACCTTTCCACTATTGTTCCAGCTCAGACAATGGAATATTCTGGTACTTTCCACTGGTTACACAAGCCCAGAACTTTCTGGGTCCTGAGGTCCTGGTATCCCCCCCTCTGTGGCCATGATTCATGTGTTGCCAAGAGTGACTGATGACATTTATTATTTTCAAAGGGTAGGAGCCATGGAAACCAGACACACCAACGGGCTGCCGCAGTGTTCTAGTCCGTTGCTCTCCACCTTTCTCTCATGTTAGACCATTATGGATTGCTCTGGACCATTGTATTATTATATGAGGAGGAAATTGTGCCAAGCACCAAAAGGCCTCAGGGTGGGAAGGGGGTTACGCTCCTCCATGATCGAACTCGGTAAGAGAAGGAATACCAGCCTTAGAAGCTCATTAGTAAAATTAGGGGGACAGTCCTCACACTGCTGTTGAAACAGAACAGTCACAAAAGCCAAAAAGTGGGTTAGTAAACCAAACCCAAACAAGCCTCAAAAATAGGTTATCTGGTCTCATTGTACATACCCCAGCAATGTGGAAGTAAAAGGGAAAGGGCAACAGGAAAAGAAAAATAAAGGAAATGTGACAAAAAGGAAAATAAAATAATTTTAACAATTCAGGGAACTAGATGCAAATGCATATTTGGAAAAGTAAAACAGCCCATGAAGAGCTCTTAGTTACAGAAAGCTGAAATCATTGAAACTACCCCATATGCAATTTATTGTCAATGAAACCTATAAATTGTGGAAGTTCACGGAGAAGATTTTTCAGAGCAAGGAAGGTCGTTGCGCAGCGTTAGACAGGCACACAACGCACCAGCTGGTCTCCTTCAAAGCCAGAAGAGACACTGCAAACATTTAACCAGCAACCAATACAGAAACACTCAGATGACGACAAAAGATTAAGTAAGAATCCACAGACTGGTCTAGAATAAAGCACATACAGGCAACGCAACACCCAATGCACTCAAACATGGAAATAAGCCTGGTGGGTAAGGACAAATGAACTCCCAGAGAGGAGGACGTGCTGTCATCACAACTTGTCAGGGTACTGGAGGTGACATTTTCTTGAACAAAACAGGGAAATTAAGAGTTACCACTGGGTTACAAGCTTGCTTTCAGCCTGCTTCCAGCCTAAACATCTCAGGGAGCTCCTGAAGGCATCTCCAACAAGCTGGTGGTAGGCTGTAGGAGGCCAGATGCAACACCACAAGAACCCAAAAGCTAGGCAGGCAGCAGTACTGGGAGAAGTATGTAAGGTTACAAAGCCACAGGCTGAGATACTCTTGCCAAAAACAACCAAGGAAAGAGGAATTCAAGATACAAAATTTGTTGCCATGAGAACATAAATACAAATGTAAAATATGGGAATAACTTTTCATCTTTTTGGCTTGAGCCTCTCTAGGTCAAGTGCTAGGACAGTTCTGGCCATGACACTGAAGTACAGTTGATAAAGGAAGATCTGAGAACAGCTTTAGGTGGGGGAAAAAGGAAGAAAAACTGACTTAGTGGCAGGAAAAGCAAGACGGCACTTCA